AGAAAAGCGAAAGAAGAAACAGATGGAAGAGGAACAAAGAAGGCTGGAAGAACAAGAAGAAGAGCGCCGGCTTGCCAGAGAACAGGAATTGATGAAGAAACAGTTTGAAGATGATCTGCTAAAGCAGAAACAAAAAGAGGTAAACATTCACATGTTCCATGGCAATAAACTAGCAATCCACATCAGCCTCAGATAAGTGATATTTGGTGCAGATGAGAACTTTCTGTTTATTAAAAAGCACAGTGAAGAGAAGGGCTCTGATTCAATGGCTTTGTAGCTCTGAAGATACTTTAGGATAAAGTTTGGTGAAATTGCAGGGATTGGAGAGATTTTAAAAAATTATTAAGAAATCTTCATAGGATTGGGCCAAAATATTATTTATGCCTATCTGATAGGTTTCTGTTTAAGCTGGGTTTATTTACCCTCAGGTTGAAGAAATATCAAAGATTAGGTGAAATTGAAAAAATTCCACTTAAGCAACAAGCTATTCCTGAATTCTTTATTTATGTTTTTGTCCTTGTTTGCTTGTTCAGTGAGGACTCAGGTTAGCAAGGCCAGAATTAAGCCCAAACAAAACTTATCAAAACACTGTGCAATATTCGAGACTTAAAAACAGATGGCAAAAATCTATTACTACATATGGGCAAGAGAAAGAGATACAGGGTTTAAACCCTGGTGCTGACTGATAAATATGACTAGATTTCTAGATTCTGTAATAGGTGACGCTTTGTATTATAAAAGCATGTTCCACATTTGTAATAAAAACAACTTTCTTGTTTGATCCTCTTCCTTGAATCATTGATTGCTAAGCTCATGATGTGTATGTGCATTCATAGAGAGGTTTATTGCCGTGCTCAGGATAATGTTCTGATATATTTCTCATTTAGTTTCTCAGTTCTGTTTGTCCCTTTTTCACTTCTAGTTGCTATTTACCATCTACTTTTCTTGGCAGCATCGCATTAGAAAAATCTTTAAAAATACTTTATCTCTTTCAGACACTCATACAGAGTCTTTTTTTAAAAAATCTTATAACATACAAACAGAAATAGATAGTGTTTTAAATAGGTTTAGTATTTATTTTTACAGTATGCTTTTGCTGAGTATCTATACTTTTTTATCCTATTAGGAAATCATGGCCCTTAAAACAAATGAGTTGTATCAAACAATGCAAAAAGCTCAAGAATTAGCTCAAAGATTAAAGCAAGAGCAGCGAATTAAAGATTTGGCTCAGAAAGGACATGACACTTCAAAACTGCAGAAGAATCTTGGTGGTGGTAAGTATCATACTTAAAAATAATACAGAAATGAATTAAAATATGTTTCTATGTTCTTTGATGTGAGACACATCTTTAGAACACATAGTAAAAGATTCCCAAACAGCAGATTTTGGAAAATGTTTTGGAAAATACTTTGAATACAGTCTCCTATTTATGCTGTATTTTAACTAAATTTAAGTACAAGTAAGCAGAATCTTAACATTTTTTCAATATAGTATCACCTCACTTTTTCATTTTAGAATATACTTCTGTATGTTTGTATGGAATTCTTTTATTTTACACATACACTGTTCTTTAAAAAAAAACAAAAGATGAAAATGCTGGTCTTTTGTAATCTGTGCACCTAGAATGGGCCATCTTTTTGGTTGAAGAGACCCATTTATTGGCAGATATTGGGGTGATATTTTCATAAGTATGCACAAGTTAATGCACATGCATATACATGTAATTTCCTTCTTCCTACTCCTCCACCTGCCTTACTAAGTGATAAAAGAGCTGTGGTGGCGCAGTGGTTAGAATGCAGTATTGCAGGCTAATTCTGCTGACTGCCAGCAGTTCGATTCTCACCAGCTCAAGGTTGACTCACCCTTCCATTTTTCCAAGGTCACTAAAATGAGGACCCAGATTGTTGGGGGCAATATGCTGACTCTGTAAACTGCTTAGAGAGGGCTATAAAGCACTATGAAGTGATATATAAGTCTAAGTGCTATTGCTATTTATGCTAAAAGTATTGACAAAAACAAAGGTTTAAATTCAGCATTAAACTGATGTTAAGTATAGAGTTGGAGTATTCTTTGACGTTTCTTCTCTTTAGGTGATATTACAAAGGAGAATAATTACATTGACTTGAATAGGGTTTTAGAGACTCCTAATCATCAGAACATCATCTGTTTTGCAGAGACTAATAATGAAACAAATGTGAGAAAGAAAACTAATTTCTCTCCTCAGAAAGACACAGCTGTGCAGACAGGTACATTAATTCATTATACAATTTTTTCTTTGCATATTTCTCCACACTATAATGCTTTGGCAGACTCTTGTTCAGCAATCTTGTTGGGGTTCCCCATTCCCTTTTGCTAAGTGCAGCAGACTCACACATTTCTGTGATGCTTTTACAGATTTTGTAGCTTGACAAAATCTCTTGCATTTGTTCAGAGTTGGACAGTTTGCTGAGATGACTTAAGGAACACTTCAAGAGATCATCTGAAATTTTCTGAGTTTGTAGAAACTGAGGAAGTAGAAAGGGTACCCTTAGCATGAGTTCTTCCTGCTGTTGATTGGATTTGTGCCCCTCCTGTCTC